AACTTGGGATGACAAAGGGCTCCAGTTTGTCCTCCTCTTTTTAGAATATAATCTTGTTTTAATGGAAACAATTCTTTCAAATTCTAAACACATTTGTTTTTCTCTGTTTTTTACTTATTACAAGTCAGTTACCTTTTCTCTAGCTTTTAGACAACATTAAAATTTTTAACAAAATCCTTGAAGTGACTCTTAGTAGTCTAAAATATACTGATTCATTTTATGATTTTTTACCACCTTAAAATGTCACATTTTAAAAACTGTAACTTTTTAAACTGGCTCAATAACAGTATGACTTGGTTTCACTTGGTAAAGTTAATATGATTTTAAAAACCATATATATATATATATATATGCCTATATATACATGTATAAATATATAGGCATATATATATGTATATTTATATTTACATTTTAACCAGAAAGAAAAATACTTTTTAAAGGCATACCAAGGTTGTAAGTAATCAGTTAAGGACTAAAACATTAAACAAGGCATCACAAAAAACAAGACCAACATTAAAGACACAAAGGTTTTTCTGTCTGCGGTTCAGTAACCTAAAGGGAAATAAATTTTCATTATGACCCTTAAGTCCAATAAGCTGCATGGAACCAGTAACACTGGTTTAAGAGAAATAAAAGAAACCTGAATGTTAGTACTGAGCTAACAGATTCAAACAAGCAAATGTCTCCACAGTAAAAATACACCAAGCACAAAACCAAATGGACAAAAATCCCAAATCACAAATGGGCTAGAAGCCCTTTCATGGAGGGCACCCTGCTCCGGTGCAGAAGGAGCCAGCCAGGCTCATCTGCAACTTCAAAGTGCACACTCAAATTACAAAGAACAAAAGACCCAAATACCTACAGATTGTTCAAGCCGAATACTTACAGATGATTCAAGCTGATTGGTCGGTGAAAAAAATGTGGGGAGAGGTCCCAGTGTACTCCTGGATGAGCCCGCAAATGTTGTACCTCAAAAACAAGCCCTGTGATATTGTCAAGAAGGGGGCAAGATGTCTTTTAAAAAGAAGCGCTTTTATTTAAGCTGGTACCCAGTGGCGCGGTGCAAATGGAGTTTGCAAAGCTGTGCAATTGGGTTAGAATTGTGACAGATTTTTATAGCTCATTTATGATTAGCTCATTGACCATTAAGTACATAGTGATAAGAAACAGAAACAAGGTGGGCCTTTGTTCCCCTTTGCTTGAAGTCAGAGGCATTTCACAGTGGGTGGTTTGTCACTTCATAGCCCTTGGTCTGCCAATTCCGGGAACATTTGTCTCACAAAGGGAACAATGGTTGACACAGCATCATTTCTCTCTTACAAAGGGAGCAGAGATTGACACAGCCAACAGGTTATTTGGGGGACAATGCATACAGAACAGCATGATGATGCGGTCAGTTAATTTGTAACCATGTGGTTGGTGCGTGGTTACTAGGGTAATGAGCACAGCACAAAATACTGCTAATAACTATCTTTTTAACTATTTTTGCTAATAACTATCTTTTTAACTAGCTATTTTAGTTTTTTAGCATTTTTGTACAACAGAAAGAGGGCCATATGCAGGACTTGATTCTATCTCAAGTGGATTGTTTGACAATACTTTTTATACAATTGTTTGAACATCTAATTCATGTGCTTTACCTCTCCAGAGCTTTGAGGATAGTAAGTTATAGGTAATTTTCATTTTTTATTTTTAATATCCATGTGAGCTTTTGAACTGTCTCAGTTATAAATGCTGAACCACTGTGCAATCCCAAAGATAGAGGCAGGCTGAGCTGTGGGATAATATCCTTTAATAGCACCTTTGTCATTTTTAGTGCCTCCTCTGTCCAAGTAGGGAAGGCATCACCCTCCCATGAGAAGGTATTAACCAGCATAAAAATGTATCAGCAGCTTCCCACTCGGAGCACTCAGTGACATTCACAAGCAAGTTTTTACATGGGGTAGCCTTTGCATCTTGGAATGCTGGGGACATGGATCGTCCTTGTTTTGTGCACAAGTTAGGCAGTGTTTGCAAACTGCTTGAGGAATGGCTGTAGCTGTGGCACATAGAAATTTAATAATAATTTAATAATATCTTTAGTGCTGTTTTTTCCATATAAAACTCAAGATGAAATTGCCTCACAAACAAAGGGGCCATCATTTCAGATACAGCCAGTCTCCCATCAGTGAATCTCCACCATCCTCCCTTGATATAAGATAAGCTTCAGGCTCCTGGGTAAACCATGTCTTTTCAGTCTAAATGCAGTTTGGGGTCTCTGCAAATAGGATCTCCAGAGGAGGAGTGTTGGGAGCCGCAGCCGACACCGGTCGCTTTACTTGGCGGACTTGAGGCCTGTAGAAAGGAGCAAAGCCTGAGCTAAATTACCCCTCCCATCGAGTGAGCCAAGTTGGCGCCTGCTTCCTGCCCCCTGATTGCCCTGGCGACTTAAACAACCCGCTCTGTAAGATAGTCTGCCTAGCAACAACTGATGTTAGCCAATCAGCCCGCATCACGTGCTTTGAACTGATTGGCCACTGTTACCCTATAAAAGTAAATGCCTCTCCCGCCACGAGGAGGAAGCACAGAGAGAGATAGAGAAAGTCCACCGGCGAGAAAGGGCTGGTGGCAGAGAGGAGGCCTCACGGGGCCCACGCGGAGACAAATAAAGGCAAGGTTGCACACCGCCAGACTTTGTCGTGTGTCTTTCCTGCCGGCCGGGAGCGACCCCGACAGAGGAGTTCCTTTTCCCGCCTTTGATAGCTTATCTGAATACTGGTTCCAACTTTTGTGTGTTAGACAGTTAGGGTTAACACCAGAGCTTTTGGATGGACCAGTTTTAGAGTTACATCTCCTTATGATCCAAAGGTAATTTAGGATTCTAGCAAGTCTCTCCCTAGAATAAGTACTGGGCAGTTTGGAAGATATAGAAACTCATGTTGGATATTTTGTTCCCCTACAATACATGTTTTAGATCAGCAAATGGCCTCTTTTCTTGGATTCCAGTCACTCCAATGATTATCACTTCTTTAAAGACAGGGGCCCAAAAAGCTGTGCTACTTTATTTTAACCTATAGCTAGTGAATGTTCAGCTCCATTGTCTGCAATTAAAATCCACTAGTTGGTCCTTTATTTCTATTACGACTGTAGGCTTGTTGGGGCCTAAGAGAACCCAATTTGGCTTAACCCTCATGGCTTTTAGTTCTCACCAGTCTGATCAGGTTTTTGTTTTCTCTGTATAGCTCCTGGTAACCCAGTCTCTGGTCTAATAACCTCTACTATCCTCTTTGTCCTTTTTTGAGCATTCGTCTTTCTAGTGTCGTATCATTTTATACTGAACACAGTGATTCCAGCCTGGCTTTCTTTAGTTCCCAGGCCCCTGTCCTGTTAGATCTTTTTTTGTCTTGTCCTTCGTCCTCATTCTTTAGTGACCTCTGGATTTTTTTTTTTTTTGCCATGAGCCCTGTTGCTAGCAGATCCATGGGCTGAGGGGCATTCATGCCAGCAAAGCCCTCTAGCTTCTGTAATTACCACCCGATGTCCCATTGGGGTTGACTTACAAAAACTGCATTTACCATGTGTTGTTTTTTGGCTGCTTTGGAGTTAAACAGAATATAGAGCTGAAATGTCTCAGAAAGTTTTTCATACAACTGACAGGGACTTTCCTCTGGTTTTTGAACACCTCTGAAAATTTTCCCATATTTATAACTTTTTTGCTTTCTTCCTTCAAGCCTTCCAGGAGGGCTTTTTGATATTTTATTAGACTAGCTGTCCCAGTTACCACACTTGGGTCCCAATTTGGTTCAGTCTTGCAGAAAAGGCTTTTAGCATATATTTGGACATTCATCACTCCTGAGGGGCATGGTCCTCTAACCAGCAGAGAGCTGCCTGGGTCACTCTGCAGCATTCTTCAGTGTTGAATAGCATCAGGAGAAGCTGTTTACAGTCAAATTCAGGTTGTGACTTGGAAGATGGATTGTATTAGATCTATGGGTACCTATAGCTTCCCTGTGTAGAAGAGGATGTGATGCTTCCAGGTGAGAAGGTCAGTGGTTGAAAAAGGCTGATAAGTAAGGCCATTGCCTCTTTTGATTCTCTGCATCATAATAAACAGGTGCTTTGGTCTCTTAGAGAGTATCTGCAAGGTTCTTGTGTGGCCTAATCAAAGATGGCTGACTTTATCCACTGCCTGATCTTGGGGATTTCTTCATTTTTTCCTCTTGGGTAAGGATTCTGTTTTTTATTTTGGGGGTTATGGGCCAGAGACTCACTATTTTCTCACTTCAGATCCCCACATATGGGCTTCAGTAGAGGTGGACAAATTGGAGCATAAGGGACAGGAATTTCTATCTTCTCTGGCAACTCCTGTGGGACTGGTTTTCCTTGAGCTCCCTGATGCTTTGTTTTAAGCCCTACAGCTACTGGCAGAGTAAGTTTCCTTCTCTTATGTTGGGCACAGCTTGAGCCACAGGGATTTTTTAATTTGCTGACAGACAGAGTTGAAGCCATGCAGGCTGAGTTTGAACTTTATTCATCCATGAGTCTTGGGGCCAGGGTTGGGTAGGAGGTGGGAGGATCAAGAGTGAGTGTCTTTCACTTTCAGCATGAGAAAACTGGAGAAACAGCTAATTTTTTTTTAAAAAATTAAAATTTAAAGATCTATTCTAACCCCTCTCTGTCACATATCTTTTTCATGCAAATGAGAGAAGACTACAGCTTCATAGAAGTTTTTCAAATAAATTGTGACATTAACTAAATGTTTCTGGAGCTACTGAGGTCAGTGTAATAACAGAAACTAAATAATATGCTAGGTGTGATGGTGTATGGCTATAATCTCTGGATGCTGAGAGTCTCAGGAAGATGGATCACAAGTTGAAACCTAGCCTGGGAAACTTAGTGACTCAGTGAAACTTTGCTTTGAGATTAAAAAGAAAAAGGGCTGGAGATTTAGCTCAGTCAAAGCTCTGGGTTCGTTCCCCAGGACTGAAAAAAAGAAAAAAATAATAATCTAACATAACTCCTTCCACACTCCCAAGTTTTTATTAGGATTTCCAGAGCAGATTTGTGATTATGAACATTTTATGACTCCTGTGGAAAGTCTGTCATGTCCAGAGAAATCAGCGACTGGCTATGTCATTATTTTCATAATAATAAACTATATTTTCAAAATAACAAATTTGGAATTCTATTTTACAACTTAATATTGAATTTTGATTTAGTAGTAAAACTGAAAGTGCCATGTCAGAATGAAACAACCCTCACAATCAAACACTGAGCACATTAATTTATGTTGTTCTACAAAAACAAATCACATGAATATCAGAAAGTTTCCCCATTAACATTATTCTTCCAATTATAATAAATGCCTCAATCATCTTTATGCATTTACAACCTGCACCTCCCTTCACATCCTACCTGATGAACAAATGTAAATTGTTTCCATTTAAGTCTATACAGATCAATTATTGAGCTTTTTACATGTTTTTTTAAACACAATTACCTTGAGAAAGAAGGATGAGTTTATGAAAGCTTCTAAGGAATTTATGCAAAACTGAAAAAAAGTGGTTCCCAAGTTGCTTTTCATTTTTAGAAAACTGTATGTGTATATTTAAAGACTGCATTATGCAGTCATTCATTCTGTAAATTAAACCTTTTGATTTTGATTCCTAGTAATATTATGCAAAGCTAGTATATGTACCTATTTGCAAATATACTATATTAGTGAATGCTTTCTTTTTCTGTTCCTAAATTGCTAAAATGTGCCAAAACATATAAAGAACATCTTAAAAGCCAAAGAAATAAAACGTTTTTCTATCATCTATGAGAAGAATAAAAGTGATATGGTCACTTCAGGTACCAAAAGATATGTGGAACTGGGAAGCGGGGGAGGGGAGGGAGGCACCCCCTGCATGCATTTAAAGCACACTATATGAAAATCATGAACAATTTACCCAGGAGCCTGTAATCACTGAAGCACAGCTATTAAACATGAATTGCATTTTGATGAAACTGGGCTTTGGGAAATTTTTCCTAACCCTGTTTTTTTTTTTTTTTTTTTTTTTTTTTTTTTGCTGCAAAAGTAACTGTGAGCACTTTAGTTTCTTTGAGGATATCAAAGGTGGAGAAGAGATTCAGTGAGGAAATAGGGCCAAACCACAGTTGCTTGGACATTCCAGGTTATTTTGTCACGATATATCTTTAGAACAGTGATTGACATAAAATGTTCCTGTTTTGTCCTCTGATAGGTTCTGCTAGCCTAGGGCTTAGCTATCTGTACGATTACATCCATCCAGCTTGGTACCAGACCCAGAGAAACAACTTATCTCTCCAATAGTAATTTCTATCTTCTCCTTCCATCCAGAGACAAACCTCCTGCTCCCTTTTTATGTATGCACTTAAGCCTTCTCTGATCCCAAGACTCCACAACCACCCAAGTCTCCACCCCCCCATAAATCTTTCTGTTTCCTGTTTTACACAGGCAGATGCTCCTTCAAATCAGCAGTTAATATGTCGTTTTGTTCCTCCCGAACTCCTCCACGTCTTTGTTCTTGTTGAGAGGTGCTGCACCCCTATGAAACTCTCCCATGCCTGTGTTAAAAGCCTCCTCCTTTGTCTCCTTCTTATCTCTCTCATTTTCTCTATGCTGCTTCAGATAGAGTACCAAAAATACTCAATGATTTTCCTTATTCTATAGATTGTATTTGTACAATACAGCACATAGTCCTGTTATGGGACAGAACCTGAGATGACATGTCATTTATATCGCTAAGATGTTTCTGTATCTTTTCATCTAGTCTTAAACTATGCACCTACTTTAATAAATAGGAAAATTTTAAAAATAAAAGAAGGACTTGGAAAGGCCTCTATACTATTTGAGTCTAGAGAGTGGAATTTTGCAAAGGGTCAAGCAATCAAGGAAGAAAAGCTGAGTGTAGATAAGAAAAGAACATTTCTACTAAATCATGAAGAAGACCATGGACTCAACTATATTTTCTATTCTAGAGTGTTGTCTTACTGAAGGTGCGTTAGTATGATCAAGTCTTCTCAAACACAAACACAGTGCTGATATCATGCAGATAAGGAATAATTGAATATTCAATATTTGTCCACTATTTATAGATGTATAAAGCTTATCCTCCTTGTGGTTTGATGACTTGCGTATATTCTTGTAGTTCTAGCAGCTCTCATCTTCATTACCTCAACTCTTTTGAGAGGTCTTCTTTGGAAAAAATCTGGAGGGAGAAAATAGAATATAAGATTTACATGACACTTGGAATTAATGAAATAGTCAAACACAGAAATTCATAACAAATTATTGGATTTGTGTGATAATTGAAAAGTAACCTCAAATAGTTACGTGTCAGATGGGCCAAGTTTGTGTCTCCCAAATATCAAAGAATTAATTTTAAGGTTGAAGGAGTTTAAGATTAAGAATAATTTATGAGAGGAGGCTCCACAGAGAAAGGAGGAGCTCCAGAAGTGGCTTATTACATAGCCTCTTTCTCCAAGAATATTTTATAGAGCAAAATCACAAGGTAGATCTAACATGGATCAAACTACCATAGGAACCAATAGGATCACAAGTACAGTCACTTAGCTAACATTGATCCAATAGGGAAGTGAGGCATGCAGTAAGGGTATATGGTGAGCACCATAAACTTTTAGTTTATTTATAACTTCTAAAATAGAAAATCAAAGACATTTTTGGAAAGGATGGGTCCAGATGTTTTAGTCACCCATGTATGTCTGATGTGTATCTAGGCCCACTGGACCAGGTGGTGCTGATTACAGTATAACATCAAGTTGCTTTTTATCTGTGGGAGTGTATAGACTGGGTTATTGCATCTTCATCTTGACTGCATTTTCTCTGTTGCATTTACCCATATTTCTGTTTATAACCATTCTGTAAATATAACAAGCACATGATATATGCCATGCACAGCACAAAATAGCATTTTGATAAATGTTATTCAAACAAGCAAAATATTAAGTGAAAACAGTTTGCAACACGTTATGATGAGAAGAAACTTTGTCAAATTTATACAATATTTCTATTTCTTTTATGGGGAATAGGGTACCGGGGATTAAACTCACAACCTCACATTTGAAAGGCAGCACTTATATCACTGAGCTAAATCCCTGGCCCAATATTTCTATTTCTTGTGAAGTAAATCTTTTGATTTTTCCTCCTAAAATCTATCCTTTCATTCTTTCTGGAGCTGTGGTCTAGGTCAGTTTAGTTTCCTTGCTTTATTCCTTAAATATAAAACTTTGTCCTTTGTGCCTGTCGATGCAACTGGAATACATCAACTGGCTTGTCTATTACTATTAATGTTATTGATTAAGTAATCTTCATCTTGGTATTTCTAAAGAAATAGCCAAAATACTTTGGTAATTCTATTTGTGATGATTTAAAAGCAATGAAGCAAGGTATTTCCCCTGAATACTGTTTTTTGCATGACAAAGGAGCTAACTACTTAATTCTAGGGGTCTGTTATTATTTGTAAACTGGTTCTTAACTAAGGGTACTTACAGATGCCTCTTGGTCCAGATGGTACCATTTAACTGCCTGCGTTACTCATGAGTGGTTTTCTGCTTTAGCTTTAAACAAATACTCAACACAGAAATTCTGTTATCAAGAATTCTTTCTCAAAATTGGAACAAAATCCTGAAGTGCTGCATGAAGTGGCAGCATAAGCAATTTTCTTCAACGTGGGACACATGAGTTAAAAACTAAACCGAGCATGACCGTGCTGGTGGGAACAAAAAGAGCTAAAGCTAAAGTGGGAAGAGAAAAGATCTCTGGACTTTATCTGAAAACAAGAGTGCGAATCTCGATGTGAAGAGGTGATTCTTTTCACGGAATTTGTGAAAGGACAGAATAAGATTATTAATATTTGAGGCACTATTTCTGGTAAATGTTAATAAATATTACCAAAAAACAAAGTTTCTGCAATTACACTCATTTCAAGAATATTAACTTAAACTGGGAAGTAAATTTTCTGTAAGACTGCTTAGTTTTTTGATCCCCAGTAAGCTTTCTTGTTGGAAAGATATTCCATGGAACACATTTTGGAATTAAGTTACTCTGCAGTGCTGTTCAAACACAAACGTAAAGAGCTTAGACGGAACACATTATCTGGGATTTATATTTTATTTATTTTTGTTCAGGAATGTCTTGACTATTTTTTCTCATATCTGCTCCCTCAAGCAAAGTGTGGCATGTACCCTAATTAGGAAGATACCAAGTATGAGACCAGCTTGGGCAACTTAGACCTTTTTGAAAAGAAAACAAAGCAGTGGTTGGGATATGGCTAGTAAACACCCTGAAAGTTATTCCTTTGTTTTTGAGCCATTATTATAGACAGCTAAATAAAGTAGAAATATTATAAGCAGTTAGACATGGGTAGGCAGGCCCTCAAGGGGGTCAGTGCAGAAGATGAAAACATATTACAGCTATGGCTGAAGGTGCATCTGTTGAAGGCAGAGCTCAACGTAAAGATGGAATGACCAGGCCTGCGTGCCTCCCCATGGATAAGCAATATACCCAGATTGGTGACAAGACTTCCTGATCCTTCCCTTCTTAAAAGGATTCTTGTTCTTTCCCTGTATACTTGCTACATTTCCCTACTGGATCAATGTTACCTAAGTGGTTACACTTGTATCTTATTTATTGGTTGATCATAGTGTTGACCTGTGCTGTATTCACTTTGTGATTTTGCTCCACAAAACTTCCTCTGTGAAGCAGAGTCCACAGCAAAGCATTTTTGGATCTTCTCTCTTAAAAGCTGTCTCTATCAATAGTTTTCCTGCTCTTAACCTCCATTACTCCTTAGCATTCATCCTGTGATTTGGGGGAACATGAATACGGTATATCTGACCTCTAGTAGGCTGGAAGTCAGCTATATTTATTTCCCCTACGATACTGTGAGAACCAAGCTTGCCTTCCTTATTCCCTTTCTTCTAAATATGAGACTTTGATCCTTTTCCTTATCTATGAAACCCAAGTTAGAAAATATGTTTCCTATTTAGTTGTCAAAATCATCTCATTATATATATATATATATATATATTTGTTGTTGTTGTTGTTACCAGGGATCAAACTCATGACTGTGTGCTTGCAAGGCAGGTGCTTATGGCACTGAGCTAAATCCCCAGCCTTTATATATAATATTTTAAAATTAATTAGCAATTATGGTATTCAGTACATCAATACTTGAACAAAAGCAAAGCCAGGTGTGGTGGTGCACTCCTGATATCCCAGCACTCGGCAGGCTGAGGCAGGAGGATCTTTGCTAGTTTTGAGACCAGCCTGGGCTACAAGGTGAGCCCAAAGTCAGCCTGAATCACATAGCGAGCCCCTGTCTCAAAACGACCAAAAAAAAAAAAGGAAAATAAAAACTTCATTTGTGTTCAGAGGATGGGAAAAAACTAGCTGAACCTCTCAGTTTTATACATAATATATATAAAGATATTGTTTTACCTCTTTTGTGGGACTTTTATTCTAGAATTGTATTAGTATAGCTTAGGCTGAAGCTATATGAAATATTTTAAGCTATATTTTGCATTTTTCTTAGACACCCTTGCAAAAAACATTGGCATCTTAAAGAAACAACTGAAGTACTAATAAAACCTTTGATTCATATCCTACAGTCCATTTACTTGTGAGCTCTGCAATTGTGCTGCCCTCAGGTTTCTCATAAGTAAAGTGGTTATAGGAATAACAACTTTGTAGAATATTTGTGAAATACAAAGATGGTATTTACTAGATGCAAGCTATTGACAAATATTTCTTTAGGAGGGTATTAAAAAGGCAGATACTCAAATTTGTGTTTTTAAACAAAGTTGAGTAAAAATGAGTTTAAGATTTAGTCTATGATCACAAATTCTTAGTTTATAAAAATTAGGGAAAATTTATGTTTATTAGAAGAACTCTAATATAAAGGATAATGCAGTGACTTCTGATTTGTAAAGAGTAAGACAAAGTAGCTAATACATGCATCTTTGGGAACTTCCCAGCGACATTTCACCTATAATTTTTCTATGCATATCTCTTTCTCTTGAGTGTTCACTGTTACTTAGATCTTATACTAGGATTTGAATTTTAGCTATTGTATTTTAACATTTTATAGTATTTTATAGCTTATTTTATTTTCTTGGTGGCCTCTGGAATGTTACTAATTATCCTCATCTTAAAATTGTCTGGATCGTAAATACTTTCTCTTACTTTCAGAGTCTGGATCATCTGTCTGGCAGTGATGAGTACATACAAAAATCATTCTGAACGTTGGCAAGTATACGGTCCTTCCCTGAGATACAGGGCTGAAGACTTCTGGCACCATCTTTTAAGATGTGAAAAGTGGGCTGCCCTCTGTGCTCAAGAATTAGTTGATTTGTAACTGAAGTCACTTAGAGTAAGACATCAGCATCCCCTCTGGAGTTTCTAGCAGAGATAGTGCTAGTTTGGGACATTCCAGAGCAAGGGATTGGCGTGGCTAGTCTGCAGTTCATTAACTAATTTGCACAATTGACTGTTCCTATGTGGTGTTTCCTGTCTCTTAGATGAGATTATTTTGGAGTTCTGATGGTAATGTCTTCTTCAGAGTAATTCTCTTTTTTCCTATGTTTTATTAAAGTTTACTCAGGTCTGTTAAGTTTTCCCATCTGTGTTCATCTGTTTAGTATATTCAGATTTTTTTTTAAAAAGATTCTACAAATTTATTCTAATTTTCTACTTGCTTCTTCTTGATCTCCTGTGATTTGAGAAACAGAGGGAAAGATAAAGTCATATGTAATCTTGATCTGCAAAAACTTAAAATGATTTCATTCTTTTTAAAATTACTTTTATTTGATACATTATGATTATATATATCTCATGCTGCATGTGCAAAAAGTTTGCAAGAATAGATGGCTTACTGATCCTGAAGATTAATGTTTCTCAAATCAGAACATGTGTAACAACAAGGATATATGGTATATACGAAGCTGTGGATATATGTGGTCCATCTTCCTAACATGTCAGTAATCCTAGAAAAAGAAACAAAGAATGTCTTGTATTTAATTTTCTCTTTATTATAAAAGTATGAATAGAATACAGGATAAAATCCATAGTTTTTTTCATTAATAATAAAATTAGATAATAGCTTTCAAAATAATTCAGGATTAATTGGGACTCTTCTAAAGTGAATCCCTAAGGGCACTCATTATATCTTTTCTACTACTCTTGCTAAAT